GGTAAAGTGACCATACGTCCCGTTTTGAACGGGACTGTCCTTTTTCTCGGTCACCTGGCCCATTGTCCCCAAACAAAGCTCTGGGACACAAAATTGTCCCGTAACTCGTTGGATGGAAGTATTCAAAGTCTTTCGCATCAACAATCTTCAACATAATTTTTTTTTAATCGAATATATTTTATGTCTACCTGGTACAAATTCTCCAGTAGAAAGAGTATTTTTCTATTTCGAATAAATTGTGGACGTCTGAAAAAAAACACTTACGGTTCCAGTTCTAAAGGCGATGTTGTTAACAAAGGTAACAATAAAAAAACTTGCCTAGAATTTTATTCTTATTTAAAATCATCACCAATTTTATTAAAGCAAATTTGTTCCACTGACACATGTAATTAATAATTAAAAAAATATGTTGCATTTAATAATTACCGTCTATACCTATATGTGAATACTAATTATATATAGTTACAGTTTTTAGACTATAAATAAACCCATGTCCCATTTTGAGTTAAAAAATAAATGGTCAGTTTAGTTATAGGGGTTTTTAGGTCGTAATTAAATGATGCTCGGGTAGGTATTAGTACTTACTTAGTAAAAGTAGGTAACTATTTAGATAAGTACCTTTTATCTAATCATAATATATGTACCTATTGTGATTAGTTATATTGGGTAGGTATATTAATACCTACTTAGATACTTTTTACTGAATTACTATACCTACTAAGATATTGTGGTTAGGTATTAGGATTATTTTTAACTGTATACTATACTGATAATATAGAATTAGCTTTTTTATAAAAAAAATTATGAAACAACGAAAAATTATACCCAAACAAACAAATAAGACTACCTATAAATAACCAAATAAGTAATAATAATATTATTGACTGATAAGATGACGTGAGCGAGCATGTGCGCTGGCCGACGCCGTGACTAACGACATGGGTTTCAGCTTCAAGAGCTTAGCGCTCACTGACTCCAGCAACCCCATGGGCAATGAATACGCCCAGTTTTTAAAATAATTTCTTAATAAAATCAAATTTTGGTCTTTGAAAAAAAAATTTATTATAGAAATGTTCATTAATAAATTGCCTATCCATTAGTATCAATCGCAAAATAAAATAATGCTTACTTTACGAGGAGATGCATGTTATCAATAATAATTTCACATTTATGTGGTTTCGTTGTAAGGAGATTATTTTAATATTTATTCCTTTAAAAAAAAAATTGGATATGACTCTTATGGAATCAAGATTATGTAGAAATATAATGTGTTTTTTATTACTTGATATATCTTTTTAATAAAAAGTAGTTAGCTCCTAAAAACTGCACAAATAACGACTAGCGCGACATTTTGCTCAACTATGCGCCTTAAGGGTCATCCCCACTCCTAGAGCCTAGATTGCTCCTGCGGCAGGCATCAGGCTGGCGCAACTTCCATAGTAAAAATTGTATGTACTACAGGGGTCAAATTTTAATGACGGTTATCTCTTCTTTCCGCTTTTCGTAATATGTCTATTAACGACATTGTCAAATCAAATAGGTTCAAATGTCAAATCAAACAATTACATTTGTATATATTTTATCTATTAAGAATGCTTTAAATTTTGTTATAGAAGCTGTTATTCATTTACAGAATTGTTAAAAAAAAATGAATATGCATTATAAAATTTGCCAATTAAATGGTGCAAGAAGCGGAAAAAATAATAACAAGAAAAGGCTATTCGTAGCAATATTTCCCTTAGATGATGAAAGGTATGTGGTGAGTTTTTTTTTTACTTTAATTGTAATATGATGTTTAACGCGACTACATTTTTGGACTAGCCATCTACATAGGACAGGTTTTAATAGTGTACGATTGTGTGTACAAATACAAACACACAATTTCCTAAATCTGATAGTTCGATGGGATGGCAATCCGAAACCAACTATACTTAGAAACTACATCATCAATTGTGACTGATAACATTCTATTTGTTCAATAAAAATGTGATTTTATTTATATTATTTTTCAGATGCAAGCAATGGGCGAAACAGCTGACACATGCACCAATTGAAAAGATTCACATGTTAAAACATATTTGTGGCAAACATTGCAAATCCGAAGATTTAGAAATCCAACTAAAACGAAGTGTTATTTCATCAGTGGAGTTAATTTAAACTTCCACTATTATGTGTATATTAATTAGGTTTCATTTACATGTAGCAAAAGATAAAATCCCTCTAAAGTCACTTATTCGTAAGAATTCGATTATATAACTAAACTTAAAGTTATTTGTAATTACCTGCTTATAAATATTTTTTTATAGATTCATCTACAAACATTAGCAATAATGAGCACTCATTTTGAAAGCGACAATTAGTAAAGGATCTCTGCGAATAGTAAGTACGTAGGTACCTCTGTGAAGAAGCCTAGCGATTTGTACATAGTATTTGTTACACTTAAAAGCAATTTAATCCAATTAGTGTTAATAAACCCAATTTTATACCCTTTAAAAAAACTGACGTTAAAACAAGCATCCAGATGCAGACTATTTATTTTACAGCACAGCAACACTTGTTCAGTGCGGGAACGAATCCTCGGTCCAGCAATGCCGCAGCCAAACGCTTAGCCTCTGCGCTACGGAGTCGTCATTTAGTTTTTACTTATAATAGTGCTTTTTAATTTTCTATTTTCTTTACACATATTTTTGTACCTAATAACTGTAGACATATAATTACAAATTTCTGCGTGTAAAATACAATGTTTTATTATCCTAATCGGCATTTTTACTCAATCCCCAGGTTAAAAAAAGTATTGCTCATAAATATTTCAGTATAGAAAACGAACTTTTATTATGTAAAATATCGATAAACAATATGTCGATAAAATTATTCGAGGATAGACATTTACAGCACTATTATAAATTGCCTATGTTGTCAGCACTGTTTCTCAAAAATTAAATATCATGTCTTGATATTGGTAGAGTAGCTTGGCGCAATGTCATACATTTACTTTTTCTTAGGAAGTCCCGCATCTTAAACGTAGTGGTTATATTCTCTTTGGCAGGCATGTCAGTAGCCGCCTCTGGCAGGTTTCTATAGTTATGGAAATGAACAAAGAGAATAAAATCACCACGTTTTAGAAATAGACTTTACCACAAATTACTAAAAAGTACTTTACTAACGTGATCGACTCGAAACACTGGATGCCTATTCTCGTTTGATACTAGGGACCAGGCTGGTGCAACTTCCATAGAAAAAATGATATGTACTACAGGGGTCAAATTTTAATGACGGTTACTCTTCTTTATGCTTTTCGTGATATGTCTATTAACGACACTGTCAAATGAAATAGGTTCAAATGTCAAATCAAACAATTATATTTGTATATATTTTATTAATTAAGATTGCTTTTAATTTTGCTATAGGAGACGTTGTTCATTTACAGAATTATTAAGAAATTAAATATGCATTATAAAACTTTCCAATTAAATGGTGCAAGAAGCGGAAAAAATGATAACAAGAAAAGGCTATAAGTAACAATATTTCCCTTAGATGATGAAAGGTATGTGGTGATTTCAACTTTAATAGTAATATGATATTTAACGCGAGTATATTTTTGGACTAGCCCTCTATGTAGGACATGTTTTTATAGTGTACGATTGTGTGCACAAATACAAACACACTATTTCCTAAATCTGATAGTTCGATGGTTTGGCAATCCGAAACGAACTATACTTAGAAACTACAAGTCAATTCTGACTGCTAACATTCTATTTGTTCAATAATAATATGATTTTATTTATATTATTTTTTCAGATGCAAGCAATGGGTGAAATAGCTGGCACATGCACCAATTGAAAAAATTCACATGTTAAGGCATATTTGTGACAAACATTGCATATGAACCCAACTAAAACAAACTGTTATTTCTTTAGTGGACTTACTTTAAACTTCCACAATTTATGTGTATGTTAATTAGGTTTCATTTACATGTAGCAAAAGATAATATCCCTCTAAAGTCACATTTTGGCAAGAATTAGATTATATAACTAAATTATTATTTTATTCATCAATAAACGTTAGCTATAATGAGCACTTGTTTTGAAAGCGACAATTAGTAAACGATCTCTGCGAATAGTATGTACATAGGTGCCTCTGTGAAGAAGCCTAGCGATTTGTACATAGTATTTGTTACACATAAAAGCAATTTAATCCAATCAGTATTAAAAACCCAATATTTTTACCCTTAAAAAACTAACGTTGAAAACAAGCATCCAGACACAGACTATTTATTTTACAGCATAGCAACAATTGTTCAGTGCGGGAAGGAAGCCTCGGTCCTGCAATGCCGCAGCCAAACGCTTAGCCATTGCGCTACGGAGTCGTCATTTATTTTTTACTTAATTAATTAATTAGGTACTAGTATAAAAGTGCGTTTTTATTTTATATTTTCTTTATACATACTTTTGTACCTAATTGTAGAGATATAAATACAAATTGCTGTGTGTAAAATACATTGATTTCTTATACTCATCGGCATTTTTACTCAATCCACACGTTAAAAATTTTATTTCTCATAAATAATTCAGTATAGAGATCTAACTTTTCTTATGTAAAAATATCGATAAACAATATATCGATAAAATTATTCGAGGATAGACATTTACGGCACTATTGTAATACGTCAATGTTGTCAGCACTGTTTCTCAAAACTAAACGTAAATGACATATCTTGATGTTGGTAGAGTAACTTGGCGTAATTTCATGCAATTATTTTTACTATGGAAGTCCCGCCTCTTAAACGTAGTGATTATATTCTCTTTGCTAGGGACCATTTTATGGATAGACATATACATTTTTAAAAGCTTTTTCCAAGGAAAGATCTTACAATTTCGAAAAATCTACCAGTCTGTTACATAGATGTATGACTTGTCATTTATCGTGTCACGTATAACGTAAAATTTGAAACGTCACACCAACACCATAGATAAAGTAGCGTCAAACTCATATCATACGTCACGTTGGCGGAATTCACTCTCATCCGTATGGATAATATCTTCATATGAATATTGATTTTGTGACAGCCTTTATCTCAAATAAATTAAGTTGCAGCAATAACAGCTTAATCTTATAAATCATTGCCGTATTATAATATATTATTGTGATATTCCAGATTGAAGATACCATATTTCACCATGCCACCAGTAAGCATAAAATTCAGGGTATTTTAAATTAGTTTAATTGAAATAAAAGCAAAGCAAGTACTTTAGAAAAAAATGAATGTGATTGCCGTGCATTATTTTTTATATTATTTTCTTTAATTAATATGTATAATAATATAAATGTACTTATATATGTATCATAGGTATAAAAATGTATAGGTATTACTACCAAAACCGTATGAAGTTCTAATGATTAATGTAATTATAGTTTGTCATTACAATAGGCATTTATACAACACTTATATTTAAGAAACTGTTTAGTGGGAGATGCTAGAGAAAGGTTGTTGTTTCTAATAGATTTTTTTTTTATCTTCACGCACAATCCCTGACGGGGTAGCCAGAGAGAACAGATCGCCAAGTGTCACGATCCTTACATACCTCTTTCGCTTCTTTCAGATTCATTATCTTCTTCATACATGCACGTCTAGGTATCCGAGTACTCTTGACCTTCCCCTCTTCGAGCAATTTGCTCACATGGTCTTCGAAAGTTAGTCTCGGTCTACCTCGACACCTTTTAATATTTACTTTCGCGCTATATATTTTCTGCACCATTTGGTCTTCACTCATTCGCTCAACATGCCCAAACCATCGAAGCACGCCCTTATCAATTTTTGTGATAAGGTCATCTTTCAAACCTGCCATATTGCGAATCTCTTCGTTTCGCTTTCGGTCGGCCATGGTAACGCCGCACATTTTACGAAGAGATCGCATCTCCACTACATTCAACTTGCTTTTATGCTTCTTCTGGCATACCCAGGTTTCGCTGCCATATAACAAAGTCGGTACCAACACTGCGTTATGTATTGCAAGGCGTGCACTCTTCACTACGCCTTGCCTTTTGACTAACGCAGTCAGGGCACCATTGACTTTGTTCCCGGCAGCGACACGCCTGTCCACATCTAAATCACATCTTCCATCCCAGCTAAAAGCACTCCCCAAGTATACAATTTCATTTACCTGTTCTAGACATTCCTCATTTACCCATATTTCACACTTCGTTCTCTCTTCGTCCCTTTCAAATACCAGAACCTTAGTTTTATTAGCATTCAAACGGAGACCTTTAATTTCACATTCCTCTTTCATACATGTGACTAATGCCTGCAGTTCTGCCTCTGATGGTGCAATAAGCACTGCATCATCAGCATACAGCAGACAATTTACTTTTATGTCACCCAATTTCACACCCAAACAGCTATTTTTCAGCTTCTGTAAACATCTGTCGAGATACAGTATGAACAGCCAGGAAGACATGACACAACCCTGTTTTACGCCCGTTTGGACGCTAAACATGGGTGACAGGTCATGCCCTACCCGCACACAGGCTTTACAGTCACAGTAAAGTGACGGCACAGCCCTTAGCAATCGACCATCCACACCATACCCCGGCAACAGTTTCTAATAGATGGCTTTATATTACACCTTAATCCGAAGTAATTTCGACTAGTCATGGGTTACTCCTCTATTTTATTTGAGGATGAAGGAGTACCTCATCTTACTTAGCGAGGTACTCACGAGATACCCCTCATTTGAGGTGAGGAATCACTAGCCAGTGTATTCATCTCACAAGGCGAGTCGCCTCTCGCCTCCTTTCAAAAGTGTTTTGAAAGAAGTATTGTTACCATATTCATTATATTTATAATATTATTATGTTACAACAGGCGTTATCAGTGGATGCAAATGAAATTCGAGATCACAAAAAAGTGCACATGATTTTATATTCACACTCATTTATTTCACTTGAATATTTCAATTTCCATTACTCAAAAATTATTCTTATTGTTTATTAACTTTTTTCCTCAATGTCAACACCTCACTCATCTAGTTTTGCTGGAAAATACATAATCTCGATACCTACTTGAACTATTTTTAATCGAGTTGTTTGCTCACTCACTCGGGACACAATTCATATTGTCACTCATAAGCAAGGTCTTGAACGAGTGAGTGAGTTGTGTTAATGTTAAAATACGACTAACTCTTTCGATTTGCCGTCACGAGGACCTCAAATAAGGCAATTCATGGGTGAGGGACACATCACTAATTTTGACTATGCTACATTTCTCATGGAACTCAGTAATAAAGAAGCACTTAAGCTTTTAGATAAAATCCCACTCAAGTGCTTAAAATTTATCTTGGGTGCCACGAAATGACTTCCATCAAATGCTTTACAAGTTGAATGTGGCGAACCTCTTAACGTGTGTAGACAGTATATTGCCAATCACTTTATAAGAGATATATCTTTCCATCCACTTCTTACTAAACTGTGGTCATTAAACTCTTTTTTTTTTGGTTTTAAGAATAGGAACTACTGGACTCATACAGATGTTCCCTGTATCCTTAAGAGCTTTCAAAATATGATTAAATATCCGTTTAAAGTTTTATTTTGTTGTCACCTAAATTTTCCTATGGCTCAGTAACAATTTATTAGTATATTATATTAAAATGCAAAGCGTAGTTGACCCTTTTTAATGACACCCCTAAGCTTTATCATAATAGCTTTGTATGTTCAGCTGTCTGGATACTAAAATATAAAATTATTCTAAATTATAAAATCTATGTGCCACTTCAGTTTTTACTGGTGAAACTTTGCTATTTTGGATGTAATTTTATTCAAAGAAGTGTGCAAAATTATCAAATATATAGTTTTACTGACTTCTATAGTTCACTACAAGGCATTTTGTCTAACCCATATAGTAAACTGAAATTCTCAACAATTTTTAATAATACGATGCACTGTATAGATGTTTATGTCAAGGTATTCATATTCAAAATGTTGTTTGTTAGTATTTTGTTCATTTGCTCCCTCCTCTATAAAAAATAAATAAAACCTGCTGGGATGTCAAGTCATAGTGGCTGTGACAACGAAACGAACAAGGATTTACTTCCAGGACACTAATGCATTATACAACTTACTCTTGTGAATATCCATCAGATGTCAGATTAGAATTCTCTTTAGAAAGAAACTTAGTAATAGAATATTATGCACAAATCGAACCTGACTCCCATTCAAACCATGATTTTTCATATGCTTGATCATAATTTTTTAACAACCTCTGTCTCATATTCACTATATAATTTTCTTTCTAGTAAGCACACCCATCCTATAAATCTAAGTCTTTGTTATATTTGGTTTATACTCCTTTTGTACAATCTCTACTTGCAGTAATTTTGTAAAACAGTGCATTTAAATTCATCCAAAAATAACTTGTTACTTTGTTACATAGATCAAATTAAATCCATCTATGGAAACTTAGTAGTAAAGTTTAGTCTGATACACTGTGTGAGTTTGATGAAATACTTGACGCTGGCAAAATCAGACAAAAAAAAACACAACAGATAGCATAAAATCATCACTGACCGCTAAGTAGAGTAGAAACATGTGTCATATTGTCGTCAGTGGTGTGTCTTTCCTAGTGTAGTGGTGTTAGGAGTAGTGGTGCTGGGATTAGTGGTAATAGGGATAGTGCACGCAATAGAGGGAGGGAGGGAGGTGCTCTTCAAACTAGGTAAGACATATCATTTTATTTTATCGAGCAGATATATGCAAGGTAATTTTCACCAACTTTAATATAATGGATTTCCACAAGGTAACACCTGATTCTATTAATTATAAAGTTATCATTCAAAGAGCTCAGATTAACCCTCAATTATAATAAAAATAGATATCTGTGGTGAGCTGCAATTGGTAATCTTTCATAAAAATTCTTAACGGGAGTTCACCAAATTTCAATTATCTCTAAAGAGACATAATAATATATCTAAAATACTTACATACAACCCTTGCAAAAAAAAAAGAAACATGACCCTTTTACATGGTAGAGCCATGCTGCAGCTATATTATGGTTGTAGCACGAATGGGTCAGCTCGACCGGGGTTGGACCAAACTCTCACAGAATACCTAATAGCAGCTCAGATTAGATTAGATTAAGACGGGCTTTTTGCAACTTTATTAGACGAATTACAGTTTTATATATGTACAGTATATTTTTTGGCATCAGACCCCATTGTTTGCCACAAAGTTATACTAGCCTTGATGATTTTGTTTTCTATGTGTATATGCTAGTTGAGTTTTGAGCTTCAGAATTCCATTCTTAGATATTTAAATTTTTTAAAGAAATTATTATACCACCATTCAGCATTTATTAAACCAATAGGAGTTGTTATCTATCTACTATTGATAACAAATATTGTAGTTCACGATGAAGGAAGATAAGAAGGTAATTGTAATGAGTTTTAAAATAATTCTGTCAGCTAGAAACAATAAAGAAGAGGATCAACAAATTCTAAACAGTAAAGCATTTTAGGAGATGATTTAATTGCGTGCAGACATCTTGTTTGGATAACTTCAAGTTTATTAGGGGCTGATTTGTTGCAAGATTCTAGGTAAAAGGATACATAATCTTAGTGATTACAGACGATGCCATTACAGAAGATTTTTGACAGATATTCTTTTTTATTATATTTTATTTATAATCCCTTCTATTCTGGATTAATAACATATTAATTTAATAAAATCCTTATAATAATTTATCTCTATTAATGAATGTATACATAATATTATTTATTACACCTAATTTTAGTAAGTTCTTCGTTTTCTTCCAAGAAATATTCATTTGTCATCATGAGCCATCATACTATTATATAAAGATGATGGTCAACATCATCTTTAGATAATAGTATGATGGCTCTTTATGACAGTCGTTAAGTATATAGCTGTGGTGCTGCAGGCCATAGATTGTATCCAGCACACAACTTTTGTGCTAGTGTATAACCTATGCATGATTTTAATAAGTGTTCTAGGTCTGGATGTTTATCCATGTGCCATTTATATAAAACGCCTACACTACTTAGCAGAAATTTCTAGTGAGAGTAACATTTATCTAAAATAATAAATTCAAAATACAACAACACCCATCATTTTTTATACATTAAGATCCATGGTTTATACAGTGATTATTTTTTTTTTTAAATTATATGAATCATAGTTTTACATAATTAAATTGCTAAGAACTTGTCTCACCACAAACATATTTGTAAAAAGGGGTCCAAGTTCAATACAATCTATGTCTGCGAGTAAAGAGTTAAGCTATAAATGGGTGACAAGCCTTTACATAAATCCTTACAAGCAAGGCCCATGTTCAACAGTGAACTTGAATGAGCTGATGAAGGTGATAAAATTTGAAAAAATAACATATCTTAGTAACCATTTAATACATTATAATATAACCTAGAGAATTTAAATCTTGAGAGTTTAGACTTGACTGGGATTATCATATATATTTTTTAATTACAGCCACAAAAGGGAAAAGCACCGACAAGAGGTGCCAAGCAAATACTGTCGGAAAATGGAGCCACTGTCCTTTTCTACCGAAACATGTCACTGGGTGCTAGCGGCCTATACAATGTCATTACTTTTATTTTCTTCTATCATAACATGTCATATCTTATGATGGTAAGTGACTAAAATCCTTATTTTGCTTTATTACAATCCTCTGATTAATAATTTGTGCTCTAATATATGTTTATTTTACAAAGATTATTTAAATTATCATTTCCATCATTATAATTTTAACATGAGTTAAGTTACAGCTTATATATAACTCCTCCACCCTATAAACCCCTTTAAAGAAATGAGAGAGCATAGACCTTTCATTTCTGAGAGAGTTTTAGGCCAAGGATATCTCTACTGATGTCCAATGTCAAATGTGTGGTGCTGGTCTTAATATGTCTTTGAGATAATTTTTTTTTAAATCAGCACCTAAAAGCAATTAACAATTTAATTGGTGTTGGTGGGTCCAAACCCAGCTTACTTGCGTACTTCGAAATTTACAGTGAGCGCTTAGCCCGTGATTTACCACAGCTGTATATAGTCATTTGTATTAATTAAAATATTGAATCATTTATTATACTTAACATATTTTTATTTTGATAGGTTCTATATATTCGACAATTGAATAAATAAAGTAGTTTTATTGGCCGATAAATACTGAATGAGAAACATATATCTGGTGAATTTATATATAATAGGTGAATATGTATGTATATTGTACATGTGAATAATTGAAACATATGTAGATTTTATGAAAATACCAAAGTAGGTACATAATAATAAGTAAAAATACCAAAAGTATTTTAAGGTGCATGCTTGGGACAACTCCAAGTTGCAGACTTATTTAACACTAGCTGTTCCCCGCGACTTCGCCCGCGTGGAATTTGTTGCGGTTGGATTTCATGGACTTTATTTTTTTGCGCTGAACCCTAATTCTTTTACTAAAACAAAAGTAGCCTAAGTTACTCCTTATAATATCAGCTATCTGCCAGTGAAAATCTCGTCAAAATCGGTCTAGCCGTTTCGGAGATTAGCCGGAACAAACAGACAGACAGACGGACAGACAGACAGACAGACAGACAAAAACTTTTTGACGGGACTTTCGCTGACAGATAGCTGGATAAGGAGTAACTTAGGCTACTTTTATTTTAGAAAAAGAGTTAGGGTTCTACGCAAAAAATTAAAACTCCAAATAACACGCAGGGGAAGTCGCGAGAAACAGCTAGTTTTGGAATAAATTAATAAATTAATTTCGGACAATAACGCGACAGCTTTATATTTTTGTGCATCCCAAGAGTTGAAAATGATAATATTTTTTTTCAGTTTAATGAATGGCATATTAGTTTATTTATATTATCTATAGACCCTTAAGAATATGCCTAAAAATGCCAAGACCAAGCTGACCCTAGATTGATAAACACTGCTTAAGAGTCCTGGTAAAAATATATACTGATTATATTATTCAATTAATTTCATAAGCAATAATGAATTTTCACTATCATCTGAGCCATGGTAGCTCAGATGAATAGCGCTTGCTGTAAGTTTCACAGTACACGAGCAAACCGGGTTCGATCCCCGCCGGCATCAATGAAATTGTTAATTGCAATTTTAAGTGCTGATTTACTACATGCTTGACGGTGAAGGAAAACATTCTGAGAAAACCTGCATGTCTGAGAAATTAGAAAAAAAATATTGCGAAGACATGTGAGGTTGGCCAATACGCATTGGACATTTCGTAGCCCTAAAACCCTCTCAGAAATGAGAGGAGGCCAATGCCCAGCAGTGGGACGTATATAGGCTGTACTTCTTTAACTTTTAATGAATTTTTAACAGTATTTTAATATGTAAATGCCAAGCTCTAAATGTCACCAATACTAACTTGTTTTTGGGTCGAAACTATTTGGTCTTTGGTTTGCGTTAAAAGATAAAATAAATGACTAAAATATCATAGTCATTTGTTTTGTTATGTTTTTATTTATATGCTATCAGTGTTTTTGCAGTAGTAAATCGTGTACATTTTTTACTTTATCAAAGCATTTTATTTGAATGTATTTATTTGATTAATGTGCTGTTTTTGTTGTACCAACAGACTATGAATATAGTTGCCACAATAATCTACATCATATGCTATCAGTTGATGAGATTTATTAGCCGACCTCGATACTCTGAAGATGGCCATCATCTGGTCGACCCTGGCCTTGATCTTAACATGGATGGAGGAATGGGAGAGTAAGTTTATTTTTTTCTTTATGTTTATAATGTAATAGGGATCTTTCTTCTCTTCTTATTTAGGTTTAAGATATTCAAAGACCATTTATAATTATCTTTTTTACGGTTTGAAAAAAATCTTGAAGTTCTTTGTATAAAATATAGCCCAGATCATTACTACCATTGCTCTCTATCTTTTGTGTTGTATTACTCTCGGTTCAACCATTTCGAAGATTAGCCCGTATCGACGGACAGACAGATAGATGATAATTTTAAAAATGGTTATTCATGTATTGTCTAGCATGTATGTAAATAACTAAGTTTTTTTCCGTTTTCGTTTGCTTAACAGTGAAGACGTTTGTCAGTGAGCTCTAGAAATAAAAATAGTTATCATCGTAAATTCACGTTAAAATATGTGTAAAAAACGGATAACATGTAAATGGTTCAGTGATTAACGCAAACCGATAGTAGTTACAGTGCAACTTTGTACAAAACGAAAATCAAAGTGCAAATCCGGGATAAATATGACACGGAAAAAAAATGGAATTACTATTTTCGAGGTTAGATGAAAAGTTAAACCAATAAACGTACTTAATAACTACTGCAGTGACAATAATGTCATGGAAGCAATAAATGAAAAGTTAAAAGGGTTAATCGAAGAAAATAACTATTTAAAATCTAAAGTAACACAGTTGGAGCAAAAAGTTATTAGTATCGAGAGAGACAAACGAAAAAAAAATCTAATTTTTTTTTTGAAGTACAAGAGAAAGGCAAAAAGAGTGCGCATTAATAGAGTACATTAAAGATTTTATTGAAGAAGCAAGAACCCAGTTGAGCAGTCAACAGATTAGCAAAATCCTGAAAATTGGAAGAGATTACAACAAAAACCGCCCTTTGGTAGTAAGCTTTACAACATCATGAAAAAAATAACTTATACTGAAAAATAAACAAAACTTACCCCAAGGAATATATATATAAACCAAGATTAATTCAAAGAAGAACTAGAACTACGTAAACAGTTACAACCAAAGGTAAAAGATGAATGTAAGAATGGAAATAAAGCCTGCATAAAGGGAAACAAAGTAATAGTGAATAAGCCGGTCAGCATGCTTGGTGACAAAAGAAAAAGAGGGACATCGGGTTCACTGAAATCTCCATCACAAAAAGAGTCAATGTAAATAACAGTTTAAAAGCACTAATGAAAATTTGCTTATAGCAAATACAAAGAAATATCAAAGATCAACTTTATTACATTGAACTTTATGTTTAGATCAAGATCATCAACAAGCAACTGACAACAGCACCAGAACCCTCAAAAAACTCAATAAACTAAACCCAACACATAACTACAAAACAGTCTGCAGGTATCATGGTCAGTCTGTGGACTAATAAAGACCAACACCCCCAACAAATGACAAATTTTTAGAAAATTTACACGTATGGACATTCAATGTCTTCACTCTTATGGAAACTATAAAATCCAAGAACTGGAAGAGAGTTTAAAAAATTTTCAATGACACAATAGGTATAAGCGAGGTGAGACGAGAGGGAGAAGAAGCGTTGATTGAACTTAAATCTGGAAATCTGTTGTATTACTATGAAGTGAAATAGGGACTGTATGGAGTTGGATTTTTAATAAATAAGGAAATCAAAAATTATGTTACAAGTATATCCCATACTTCAGACAGAGTATTAAGCTTTGAACTAACAATAAAAAACACCATATATACATTTATTCAAGCGTACGCGCCAACCTCCGACGCTTCCGACACAGAGGTGGAAACCTTCATGGACTGATGTTGAAATAGCATATTGGCAAAGCAAAGGAAAATACAAATTTTTTATGGGTGATTTTAAGAGCCACAATGGTCAACGAAAATCTGGTGAAGAATATCACGTTGGACAGAGAGGTGACAGACTTATACTCCTAGCACAGACACTAAACCTAAAGGTAGGAAACACGTTTTATAAATCAAGAACAAGTAGAAGATGGACGTGGGAGCACACTAACAAAATAAATAAAACCCAAATCGACTTCTTCTTAATAAAAAAAAACAAAACTAATATAAATAACATATCTACAATCGGAAAACTTAACTTTGCTTCTGGTCACCGTCCGTCGAAATGATATTGAAAATAAATAACTGTAAGAAACATGAATATAAACAAAAGACATAATAAAATGTGGTCTCTGCTTTAGCAATAGAGGAAATAACAAGAAGACTATTTAAAAACATTGAATTTCAAAATTCAGAAAATGTTCAAAATGAATACAATCTCATAGAGGAAATAATAAACAGCGCTATGAAAGAAACAAAGAAAGTACAATCGCAAAGAATAGAAGATATTTTCTCAGAAGAGACCAAAAGATTTCAAAATTCTTCTTCTTTCTTTTTTAGTACGATTTTTGATTATTTGCTGCTTTTATATATTAGCGTGAAAGTGTTAATTGAGTAGAAGCTCAGTAGTTATAAATACTATGCCCATGTACAAAAGAAGATTGTGGTAATACAATTATCTTATTTTCTTTAAATCAGTTAAGTTTTCCTTTTTATCTTGTAATACTAATGGTTGTACTGTTGAATTACCTAGAACAAATGACAAACACAGTTGCTATAACTACATTAGTATGTTAGTATTGACAAACATTTACTTTTATACTATTTGTGTTAATAAAATCACACAGAATATTTACATAAGGAGTGTTTGTGTTGCTTAAAAGTGAATCAAAATTTATAGGACGAGGGATGTCAGGAGGGAGATTATCATAGAGTGAACAATATAATTAAAAGATTTTTTTTAAAGGATGAGGGTGACAAACGAGCACACAGTTCACCTGATGGTAAGTGGTTGCTGCGGCCCATAGACATCTACATCTATCCTCTGTTACAAATCAAAATGTAGATGCGTTGTCACCCGTGAGGACTAAGATGGAATGCCTCATTTCCAGTAAAAAGGGCCTCCGGCCACCTGCACTCACCAAGCAAAACGCAGAGTTAAACCTCTACTTCACGCTGGTTTTCTGTGAGGTCGTGGTACTACCCTGGTTCGAGCCGGCCCATCCGTGCGACAGCAAAAGCTGCCTTATCATAAAATAGACAGTTTTCCTGGCATTCATTCCCTGATTAAAATTCACGTGAGCGAACTCGTATAAAGTCTGTTTCATAACTATTCACCAGCTTATTTCCATAGTTCTGTAGTGCCTTGCTCACCCACCTCTATGGAGGTTAGATGAAAAGTTAAACCAATAAACGTACTTAATAACTACTGCAGTGACAAATAATCTCATAGAAGCAACAGATGAAAAGTTAATAGGATTAATCGAAGAAAATAACTATTTAAAATCTAAAGTAACACAGTTGGAGCAAAAAGTTATTAGTATCGAGAGAGACAAACGAAAAAAACGGAGTTTTCTTTGGAGTACAAGAGAAAGGCACAAAGAGTGCGCATTAATAGAGTACATTAAAGATTTTATTGAAGAAGCAAGAACCCAGTTGAGCAGTCAACAGATTAGCAAAATCCTGAAAATTGGAAGAGATTACAACAAAAACCGCCCTTTGGTAGTAAGCTTTACAACATCATGAAAAAAATAACTTATACTGAAAAATAAACAAAACTTACCCCAAGGAATATATATATAAAGCAAGATTAATTCAAAGAAGAACTAGAACTACGTAAACAGTTACAACCAAAGGTAAAAGATGAATGTAAGAATGGAAATAAAGCCTGCATAAAGGGAAACAAAGTAATAGTGAATAAGCCGGTCAGCACGCTTGGTGAAAAAAGAAAAAGAGGGACATCGGGTTCACTGAAATCTCCATCACAAAAAGAGTCATTGTAAATAACAGTTTAAAAGCACTAATGAAAATTTGCTTATAGCAAATACAAAGAAATATCAAAGATCAACTTTATTAAATTGAACTTTATGTTTAGATCAAGATCATCAACAAGCAACTGACAACAGCACCAGAACCCTCAAAAAACTCAATAAACTAAACCCAACACATAACTCAACTACAAAACAGTCTGCAGGTATCATGGTCAGTCTGTGGACTAATAAAGACCAACACCCCCAACAAATGACAAATTATTAGAAAATTTACACGTATGGACATTCAATGTCTTCACTCTTATGGAAACTATAAAATCCAAGAACTGGAAGAGAGTTTAAAAAATTTTCAATGACACAATAGGTATAAGCGAGGTGAGACGAGAGGGAGAAGAAGCGTTGATTGAACTTAAATCTGGAAATCTATTGTATTACTATGAAGTGAAATAGGGACTGTATGGAGTTGGATTTTTAATAAATAAGGAAATCAAAAATTATGTTACAAGTATATCCCATACTTCAGACAGAGTATTAAGCTTTGAACTAACAATAAACAACACCATATATACATTTATTCAAGCGTACGCGCCAACCTCCGACGCTTCCGACACAGAGGTGGAAACCTTCATGGACTGATGTTGAAATAGCATATTGGCAAAGCAAAGGTCAATACAAATTTATTATGGGTGATTTTAAGAGCCACAATGGTCAACGAAAATCTGGTGAAGAATATCACGTTGGACAGAGAGGTGACAGACTTATACTCCTAGCACAGACACTAAACCTAAAGGTAGGAAACACGTTTTATAAATCAAGAACAAGAAGAAGATGGACGTGGGAGCACCCTAACAAAATAAATAAAACCCAAATCGACTTCTTCTTAATAAAAAACAAAACTGATATAAATAACATATCTACAATCGGAAAACTTAACTTTGCTTCTGGTCACCGTCCCGTCGAAATGATATTGAAAATAAATAACTGTAAGAAACATAAATATAAACAAAAGACATATAATAAAAAGCGGTCTCTGTTTTAGCAATAGAGGAAATAACAAGAAGACTATTTAAAAACATTGAATTTCAAAATTCAGAAAATGTTCAAAATGAATACAATCTCATAGAGGAAATAATAAACAGCGTTATGAAAGAAACAAAGAAAGTACAATCGCAAAGAAAAGAAGATATTTTCTCAGAAGAGACCAAAAGATTTCAAAATTCTTCTTCTTTCTTTTTTAGTACGATTTTGGATTATTTGCTGCTTTTATATATTAGCGTGAAAGTGTTAATTGAGTAGAAGCTCAGTAGTTATAAATACTATGCCCATGTACAAAAGAAGATTGTGGTAATACAATTATCTTATTTTCTTTAAATCAGTTAAGTTTTCCTTTTTATCTTGTAATACTAGTGGTTGTACTGTTGAATTACCTAGAACAAATGACAGACACAGTTGCTATAACTACATTAGTATGTTAGTATTGACAAACATTTACTTTTATACTATTAGTGTTAATAAAATCACACAGAATATTTACATAAGGAGTGTTTGTGTTGGTTAAATGTGAATCAAAATTTATAGGACGAGGGATGTCAGGAGGGAGATTATCATAGAGTGAACAATATAATTAAAAGATTTCAAAATTTAAAACAAACACTGACAGAAACGAAAGCCAAAAGTAGAGCGGACAAAAATAGACTTATCGCAGTGAAAAAAAAAACTTAAAGAACTCGTCAAAAGAGATTTGGAAAACCAGAAACTTGCTGAAATAAAAAAAGCTTTAGCAGAAAACTCTGCGATAAAACGGGCAGAGAAAATTATGTTTATTGGCAAAGAACTAATACCAAACTTAAATATGAGAGAAAAAAAGTTGAGATGAGAAAGGAAATTGTAAACACAGCAACAAAGTATTTTAAAACACTATATACCAATGTCAACCATGATACGAGTACCTATGAGAAAAAACAGTGTGAAGATGTTGAACAATTCCTGGTTGACGAGATAACTTCAGCAATATAATATCAAACCTCAAAAATGAAAAAGCTTCGGGTGTAGATGATATCTGTAATGAAATTATAAAATATTCCAGCTATGAGCGACATCAAGTTATTACACATTTATTCAACGATCAGTGTTTAAGATTTCCAAAAAAGACAGAATCAGGATTACAGAGATTCGGGACTGGACGGGGGTGGAAGATGTCATAACAAAGATTAAGAAAAGCAAATGGGCATGATCAAAGGCATCTCTGCAGACTACCAAATGATAGATGGACTAAAACAATTACAGAGTGGATCCCAACGGACAAAAGAAGAAAAATAGGGGAGACCAAAAATGAGATGGAGGGCGAACTCTCGAATTTTGACAAATACTAGCACAGAACAGCCCAGAATAGAAAAGATTGTGATAAGTTGGGGGAGGCCTTTCGCGCTAATAGCGACATATACATAAATAATAAAAACATAATGAGACAACTTAAAAATGTATTTATATTTAAAAATAAATGTTACTAATTTTACGGTTTCTAAAAAAGTTCAAGCTTTTAGAATAAAATATAGCCCAGATCATTACTGGCATTGTTCACTATCTGTTGTGTTGTATTACTCTCGGTTCAGCCATTTCGAAGATTAGCCCGTACCGACGCACAGACAGATAGGTGATAATTTTAAAAATGGTTATTCATGTCAATAGCTTATTAAAAAGTAGTTATTTCAATATTACACAGCTACAATATTAGACAGCCACTTTATTTTTATTAATATTTTTTGATTTGTATCTTACTAATATAATGATGTTATATATGGTAAACTACGTACATAATATATTTTTGCTTAATCTAATCTTTTGCTTAAGGACTGAAAGGTTTTAATTAAAATCTAAAATATGTGGATTAATCATAAAATAGACAGTTTTCCTCGCATTCATTCCCTGATTAAAATTCACGTGAGCGAACTCGATTAAACTCTGTTTCATAACTAGTCACCAGCTTATTTCCATAGTTCTGTAGTGCCTTGCTCACCCACCTCTATGGATGGGAAAAAAGGAGGATAAATACGGTATTATCATATATTTAATGTATATCTATTTAGGCGACTAGGTATATATAGCCAGAATAATTAGCTGTGTGTGTGTGTGTGTGTGTGTGTGTGTGTGTGTGTGTGTGTGTGTGTGTGTGTGTGTTTATATGTGTGTGTGTGTGTGTGTTTATATGTGTGTGTGTGTGTGTGCTGTGTCTTGGCTCTCAGAGGTGACCACGCATCTGTTTCGTAACCTTTTTTATTTGAAGTTGGTTGCTGGTGTCCATAGACCGCAGTAATCACTTACCATCAGCTTCTAAACGAACACAACACAAACTCCATCTAAATGTAGGACGAATTTGTCATAAAATATTTATGAAATATGCAAAATTTTTAAATCTACGTGAATGGAAACTGGCTCATAATCTTAAAATAATAAATATAACTGGTATGGTCACGAAACTAATAGCCTTAAAAAGACAAGACTGACTAACCAGTTAATAACTTAGACCTACAATGAAGATAGACGGAGCGCCGCGGAAATTCCAAGTGACATCACGGCGTTCTTAACAGTCTTAACGGAGACTACCTATTTGCGCAGGACAGGATTATAGTGCACGAGTGTATGCGCAAGCACAGGTGCACTCACTATACCCTCCCTCTCATAGTCCGATGGGACGGTAATCCGACACGATCGGAGAGAGATCAGACACAGAACAGCGGCTTTACGTGGTTTTCTAGACACGGGGTGAGACACCAACAACTTCCTGACACCGGGCTGCTGCTGAGAATTTATTGTCAGAAAAACTCGCTAACTGATTTTTTGGCCCGACCAGGATTTGAACCCGGAACCTCGCGACCAACAGTCACGTTAACGACCACTGGATCAACAAGACATTCAAAATTAAGAGCCGGCTGTAAGGAATGGTTGGCAAACAAATGACTGTTACCTGAATCTTTCGTGATGCAATTGGCGGCACGTAAGTCTAGCGCGGAATGAAACGTGGAGGGGATAGCTGCGCAGGGGTACTGTCGCGCACAAATTGTATTGCACGAATGCCACTGGAGAGCAAATCAGCGCGTGCGAACGATACGCACGAGCCAATCGACGCGTGCAAACGATACGCACGAGCCAACCTGCGTGTGCGAACAACGCACGCCCGCCCCGCGATCCGCTTACTAACAACTTTCGACTTATGCGCAATAACGGTCACCGCTAGATTTTTGTGCCGCTACTTACACATGCTTCGATTATGAATTATAATTTATACGCTGTAATATCGGATAGCATTATTATTTTTTACATCTATATAAAATTAAAAAAAATGTTGAGTTACGTATCACTGAGCGAATAATTGGTACAAGGACCATGTCTACTTTATTGTCTTTAATGGATTTTGTTATTTATGCATATTATGCTATTATATCGCTCTTATTATATGGAGCATAAGATTTATTTGACTATGACATTTCAACGTGATTAGAACTGGCTCATTTTTTCCAGGCATCTAAAGGATGTTGTGATACTTACGTCGCTCATACACCTCTCAGCTCTTATATCGAACTTTTTCTGGCTCCTACTTCTTCTAATTCCGTTAAGGGCTTTCTGGCTGATTTGGATGAACATCCTTTCCCCCTGGATCTTCGAAGAGGTCCCCGAGGATACTGAACAAGACGAAAAGAAACGAAAAAAAATGGAAAGGAAGATGAAAAGATATCAACAATAAGTTAACATATCATTAATTTATACTATCGGAATTTTTGTTATTTAATTTGGAATGTTTCTTATGTGTCCTTGTTGTATATTTTTGTTTATATGGTATGTTTTATAATAATTTATTTGGAGCAAGGCTTATGTGATGTAGTAACTAAATATGATTTAGTTTTTGTAAACTTAGGGCTGGTTTTTTTATTCGTCAGATAGAAGTTATTCATCTAATAAACGACTGAATGAAAAAGTGAAACCATTGAGCTATTTAATTCATACAACTATAATTTTAAATTTCTTTATGTTGTATTTTATCCTATGAATTAATTTTATCTGAGTATTGAATAATCAGCTTTTAATTTGATAATTTTGGATAATAGTTTCATAATCTTTATTATGTTATATATATATATATATATATTAACTAATTGTGTACTTGATAGTTTGAAGAGGTAGACTTTATTTGCTCTGTCAGTTACATCAAATACCACGTACAAATTTGAATATTATATTTAATTTTATTGTAAAAAAATATGTTCAATTAGTTGATAATAAGTAATTTACTTAGTTGTTTAATTCAATTTAATGAAAAAATATTTTACTATTTAATTTGTAACTGTAAGTTGTTGACTGAGCTGTAACAAGTTATTTTGTACATAATATATATTTTAGTTTCAACAAATAAGATTTGAATATATATATTTTTTGTTTTCGATTTTCTTTGTCTTTCCATTCGTTTTTGTTTCTACCACTGCAAGTATATGATATTTACTTACACAACAAAAACCATTAAATATAGAGCAAGTTAATAACTTAATCTATATTTATATATTTAGGATTTTGTGTATATTATCATGGATTTTCTTTTATTTTATAATTTTTTTATAATTAAATATATAAATTATTTATTAAATTTTTGTAAAAAGACAATTAGTATTCTACCTCGGGCAAATTAACGTCAATGTTTTCTTCATAAATTCATTAGTTTTTCCTTTCATTTATTTTATATTATAACTAATAACCTACTACGACTTACATTTTTGCATTTGTACCTTTATTTATAAGATAGATTATATCGATATAGGTTTTTTTACTTAATTTTTGTAAGGATTAAATAAGTAAGAGCGCGCCTTCATTGGCTGATACCGCTGACGATATATCGTCACCGACACGATGTATATATACATCACACACACACCGATATTATCTAGAAGCTGTTTCATTCAACTACACACTGATACCGTTATCGTTATCCTTGACTAGATTGCTATTTTATTCTATTTGTTAAATGATTTATATTTATTATTTTATTTTTACCTACGTCGTATAAAAAGAAAACTTAACTTTAAAGGAGCTTATCATACATAATTCGACAAGAGAAAGCTAGATAAAGATTAGTTTAAATTTTACGTTTTCGTTCCAAAATTTTCTTAGTTACATTACAAATATAAATAAACAGCGTAGTTTAAGTATACATTTATTTATTTATTATAAATATAAATTAGCACGTCACGCATACGTGTTCCCGTGTATATTTACATCACACGTTATTTTATCGGGACGATTCTGTGGGATGCGGACGTGGTACCGACAAGTCACTGATAACCTGTCGGCAACGATATATCGGTATCGTGTCGGTCAATGAAAAAGCAACATAGGTACATATATTTCAGTGCCCCGATATCGGTGAAACTGTATCAGCGACGATATATCATTATCGTGTCGGCAAGTGAATAAACACTAGTTTTAAATACGTTTCCTATCTGAAGAAAAATACATTTAAATACTTATTCCAAAATGTTTCTTTCGGTTAACAACTGTAAATCAGAATATCACTATTAACTATGTAATTTTTTTAGAAAACTAATACATTCTTATACTATGTCAATTTTCCGAGTGCCATCCTGAACAAACCAGTTGGATGGTTTTTCTGATTTACAGTAGGTGCATCGGTTAGCCATAATTTAAACCAATTTTATCTGAGTCATATTGGTTGTTTGCGTTCTTAAAAATACTCTTATCAGTTTTGATCTAGAATCAAGAATATGCAAGTGGAATAAGGCCCAGAGTTACAGGGTTGGCTATTGCAACGCATTAGCATATGGCAAAATAGCGTTCTTATAAAACTGTTACTATTTGTCCCAATCGGAATTATAAATCAACAATATCCGTAATATAGATGTCAATCTAAGTGCATCGGCAGTATCGAAACCGTAAGATTAAAGTTCACCGAATTATAATGCGAATACTAAGTTAGAGCATTGCAAAGCAAAATGCACCTTTTGTTCGCATAGTAGATGGTCCAAATTGATTCTAACATGTGTTTACTCGATGTGTATTTTATTCATACCGTTTTCGCTATCTGCATGCTTTCGACAAAGTTTTGACGGCTTCGTGGCGCAACTTGTCGCAACGTGTCGCGACCATAGATTTAGGTTGCGACGCTGAGAGCCGCGGACATGTGTTTTTATGGTCTACAAATAGTTGTTCCGATAAAACTAATTCAAAAAGTTGAGTTATATTGTTTTGTCGAAATAAAATTTGAAAAATTAATTAACACAGGGAATTTTATAGTATGCATTTAAAATGTCGTAGGTTTGGGGCTCATTTTATAATAGTAGTTTTAATATTACTATCATACTGTCCGTCTTCTTGAAATGTAAACTTGTCAGTATTTGAATATCCTGTTAAGAGGGAAATATATATTAATAATGTGTGTTAGGATACGGTAAAGTGGTGTTTTGTACTTAATGTATTTCTGCATTAATATAAATGTTAAATGTATTGTCGTATAATATGAAACAATATCATCGTATTTCAGGTGCTTGAAAGACTATGTAAGATTGATTTGAAAAATCGACTAGTTGGTATGTGATGGTAAGATGGGCTTTAAGGAGGTAAATCGTTTTGAATACCTTAAATTGTGAACTGATGGGAACCGAATTTATGTAGAAGAAACTACAGGCGTTGTGATGTCCTCATTAACAGATTTGGTACAAAATTTTTAAAAGGAACAACCATGTTGCCAGGTTTTAATATTATCTAAAATGTTGCGTATTGAAATCGTGCACCTGGAATATTTTCTCCATTATGAATTTCAAAGGTTGCTTTCTTAGTAGATAATCTATAAAATACTATGTATTGGTGTAAGACTTTAATGTCGATGTAATCGTAGTTATAAGATTGTCCCGCCCGACAAAGGGTGCAAACTGAGTGGCGAGCGTGTAGCGGGTCCGGGATATCGGCGTGCATGACATCTCTTAAGGTAGGGTGCCACACTGGTGCCGCTTACGCTACGTATGCGTCATATCTTTCCCACGTTGGTGTACACACTTGAACTACGTATGCAATGTACGTAGGGCGTCAGTGTCACTTGTCACTTCTAACTTCTAAGACTCAATTTACATTGCGGCGGAACGGAAGTTTCAATTTCGCCTCGTCGCGCGACAATTCTGCGAAGACTGCGCGTTGAGGTTATAGATGACGTTCATTTATTTAGTCTAGATCTTTAATTTGGCAAGAATTGTTGACTGAACTGGAAGAATTGTCAGGTCTACTTTGCGTCGGACGCGTGTGATTACGTCCAGATAATGCGTTGCATACGTTGCGTACATAGGAGCAGTCCTGTATCTACCTTTATAATATTGTAGTAACCTTTATTAATGTGGCCGCTGGCAGAATGTATTCCACACGCGCCACTACATCCCATGTCCCGTCTAACGCTCAGCACTCACTTAGGCCTTGGGCCAGGTAAGTGTTATGATTTTAGTGGTGTATAGAGTAGCTTTGAAAATATTTTTTTTTACACTTATCCCTACCCTTGACAAGAGTGTGGATATTAGCACTATATTCAGAACTCTCAATGCTACAGTGTCAGTTATATTTTAATCGTAAGTATTGAGTAAATACGAATTCTTAGATTTTTTAATTTCTTTACTGGCATAATTTAAAAGTTAAGTTAAAACCTGACTGATTTCTCAAAATGCAACCTGGGGCCATGGCCCACTGGCCTACCTTCATGCGCCACTGTACCGATTCATTAGTACCTAATTAGTGTAGGGATTTGTTGAAGAGATAGCGTAGGTACCAATTTTGACATCGAAAAAGTGCTTTGTAAATCCCAATTTTAAACGAAACATATTTTAAGTGTGTGGCCAGTGTTTGTTAAAATTTCACAGGTGTCAATTTTAAATCTTACTAGTTTCAATATAATGAAGTACCATTTACTATAGTACTGGTATATGTAGAAGATTTTACGAAGCCTGCAGGATTTAGGATTCAGGATTCATTAAAGTTCGTGTTCTATTTTTTATTACAATTATAACATGGTGTCTGAAAATTCGGCCATATTTATCAGCCGTTGAAATTGAAACTAGGTACATATGTACTTATTATAAAGTTTGTGAAAACGACCTCAATATGTTCCACGTTTGGTCAAATAATTAACTCTTAGTTTCAATGCTGCCTGTTACAGCAGCTGAACAATGGCCTTCCCATAAATTGCCTCATAATGGGGATATTTGCTGTAATTTCCACGCTAGGCGGCGCGTTTGTAAAAGTTTTTTTTCATGATGTTATAGAAAGACTGAATGAAAGAATTATGACCGACGGGGTGATATTATGGGATAGTGGCTACTCTTACGAGTATATGCCTACTATAAAATAGTTTACCCACTTTGCTTGACCTAAAATACAAAGTTTGGAACTCTAAACCTCAGTTCATATGCGCGATTTACTCTCTTAAATATTAGATATATCGTTTAAATTTTCAATAAGTCTAGTCTATTTCAAATGTCCTATACATCACTACTTCATAACATATTGATGTTTTATATGATAAGAATCATTTCAACTGCTGTATAACTTATTTATTACACATTCGTACGGTACTATGCATGCTGTGGTATTTATCATCTACTATACGTATCTACCTCACGCGTAGTACATTACGTGTGATCTAAGATACTACCTTTATATGTATAGTACATGTAACGGACTTAGTCGGTAATTCTGAGATCTGTATACCACGATCTTGTCATTCACTATTCAGTATAGTTACTATACTCGTATACTTTATATGTGTCACAATAAATGTTTTAATAATATTTTGTTTCTTTTTCATGTATTTAAGATTTCGGTTCTGCTGATTTGTATGTGATGGAAATCAAACAGATCCGCAAATAAGGAACATAACATTTAGCCTTTTTTTTTTATTAGACTAAGGATGACAAACGAGTACCCAGTCTACCTGATAGTAATTGGATGTTGTGGACCATAGACGTTTACATTTATCCTCGATCAAAATGCAGATGCGTTGTCACCCCTGTAGACTAAGATGGAATGCCCCGTCTTTCTAGGATCTGTCAAAGGGGTTCTCTCACAACAGTATATACCATCGCAGATTCAGTCACTCATTCTACATTCTTAAAATGGATCCTGTAATTATCACCTCGCGGCAGCTTTTGCACGGATGGGCCGGCTCGAACCGGGGTGATACCACGACCTCACAGAATACCAGCGTAAAGGTTTACCTTTTTTTGCGTAGCGCTTAGTGAGTACAAGGTGGCCATTCCCCCCCCCCCCCCCCCTTTACAAAATGGTAGCGGAATTAAACAAAAGACTATCCCAGGAGGGTACTAGCACTCCTGGAGAATCCCTCGCTGAGTATCCACGACCAAACTACTCCACTCCTGACCGTGGGTGCTCAGGCTTCGCCTACGCGGATCCCATATGTGGAGGATCATGTACCTTCCCTGTTGGACCTTCTGCTGACCTCTCATCCGGACGGATATCAGGTCTCCGTAGATGCGTCTCTGGGTTTTTCGGACCATTGTCTGATCCGAGGTACGGTGCCACTCAAGCTCCCATCGCAGTTGCGATCTGCAGCTTGCCGCCGTGTTTGGTACCATAGGTCAGAGGTCAGACGCAAAGGAGAAAGCCGATCCGCTATGCTCTCTTTTTGCTTTCAACTCGACTCTTGATGACGGGGGGAACACACTGCCGACCATCCCGCGGTGTGAGTGCTCCATGCCGGATGTGCGGTTCTCATAGCAGTCGGTTCGCAAAGCACTCCTCTCCCTGGACATCCAGAAGTCGAGTGGGCCTGACGGAATCCTCCCAATAGTGCTGAGGACGCGTGCTCCAGAGTTGGCACCGGTTCTAACGCGTCTTTTCCGGTACTCCTACTCCCTAGGCGTAGTCACGAAATCATGGAAGACAACTTTTGTCCACCCGATCCCATCAAAAAGGCGACCGCTCACACCCGTCCAACTACAGGCTTATCGCCACCACCTCCTTGCTCTCCAAAATAATGGGATCCATTATAAACTGCCATTTCTTGCGGTACCTTGAGGATCACCAGCTAATTAGTGGCCGCCAATACGGTTTTCTTCGGGGTCGATCAGCTGGTGATATTCTGGTCTACCTGACTCATAGATGGACTGAGGCAGTAGAGTCCAAGGTTGAGGCACTGGCCGTTAGTTTGGACATTGCGAAGAACTTGATCGGGTTTGGCACAAAGCGCTTCTTTCGAAGCTCCCTTCCTATGGGCTTCCCGAGAAATAGTGCAATTGGATCACCAGCTTGCAGATCGGAGCATCAAGGTCGTTGTAGGCGGTGCATGCTCCGACTACAAGCCTATTAACGCTGGTGTCCCACAAGGCTGCGTGCTATCACCAACGCTGTTTTTTCTGCATATCAATAATATGTTGCGAATTGATAACATTGATTCCTATGCGGATGACAGCACTGGTGATGCTCTATACACCAGCCGTGCCAATATTTCTCGGGAAAACGTCGCCGAGTACCGAAATAAACTTGTGTCTGAAATCGAGTCTTTGCTGAACAAAGTCTCGGATTGGGGGCGACTAAATATAGTCCAGTTTAATCCTCAGAAAATCAGAAAAACAGACACAAGTTTACCGCTAAAAAGAACCCCTTTGTCGTATCTCCTCAGTTTCAAGGCACTACCTTTGTTGCCTCAGGCAGTATCGGAATCCTCGGTGTCGACATATCGAGTGACGTGCAGTTTCATGGTCACTTGCAAGAAAAGGCCAAATTGGCCTCTAAAAAGCTTGGCGTGCTCAGCAGAGCGGGATAGTATTTCATGCCGGCACAACGCCTGCAACTTTACAAGGCGCAGGTTCGGCCTCACGGGGAATACTATTTCCATCTCTGGGCTGGGGCTCCCCAGTACCATCTCCTTCCATTTGACCGCATCCAGCGCAGAGCGGCTCGAATCGTCTACGACCGAGTCCTTTCCGCTCGGCTCGATTCATTGGCGTTGCGAAGAGATGTTGCATCCCTTTGCATTTCCTTTCACAGTTACCACGTTTCACGAACGCACATCGCGGCAGAACTCCCGATACCATCCACACCATCTGGATGATTGGCGGTCCACTACTGTGCGATTTAGAACATTTTTTTTATAGGATAATGGTGACAAACGAGCACACAGTCCACCTGATGGTAAGTGGTTGCTGCGGCCCATAGACATCTACATCTATCCTCTATAACAAATCAAAATGCAGATGCATTGTCACCCGTAAGGAGTAAGATGGAATGCCTCATTTCCAGTAAAAAGGGCCTCCGGCCACCTGCACTCACCAAGCGAAACGCAGAGGTAAACCTCTACTTCACGCTGGTATTCTGTGAGGTCGTGGTACCACACCGGTTCGAGTCAGCCCATCCGTGCGATAGCAAAAGCCGCTACGTGGCTATCACTGTTAAAGTTGTTTTCTTCTAGCGTAAACGATTGTTAAACTGTTAAAGATGTTTTCTTCTAGCGATTTTTGCAGAACGATACGACTTAGGGACTCCTTTTTATAAGGCCGGCAACACATCTACATTTCCCCTGGTTCCCCTGGTGTTGCAGTTGTTCATGGGCGGCGGTAGTCACTTACCATCAGGTATTATTGTGATATTTATTTAATAGCCGTGTAGTGGCTGCGTAAGACCCCCTTGCATCCCGTGGGTCGTGGGTGTCGTGATAGGCGACAGAGTGAATTTAAACAGGAAATGGACAGCAACATCTTTCTTATAACAACTAAATAATTTTTATACATGTCGCAGGTTTATGACAAAACTGGTTTTTGATCAAGAACCGGAAGAGGACAAAATGACTACTTTTTGTTATCACCAACCTGAGAAAATCCAGTTTTTTTTTTATCAAAAACCTAGACTGATTTAGATTTATGATAAAATCAATGTCGGTTGCTATTTCTTAAAATAAATAAAACAAATAGATAACCTAACCTTTTACATGGGGAAAAAAGGACCGCCTTGCGGGGTCAATGACGGGTTATGTCGGGCTCGCACTGACTAAAACCCCATGGTGTTCCACCTTCGCCGCATATTGGCTGGGCCACGAGAACGCTTTCGCACACAACCGCGTCCTCTCCAGCAACGTTAATGAGAGCCCCTCCCCTAGGGGAGCTTCTCCTCCTCATTTTCCTTCTCAGGCAAGGCGCACCAGGAACGCAAGGCCGAAATTAAGGTAACAAACCAGACTTCAACAAAAAATATTTATTTAATCCGGCAGAGTTACAGTAAGATTTTTACTACAATATTCAATATTAACTAATTACAATTGTCTATTTATACTCAAATTAAATGCAACAAAACTAATTACTAAGCTTATTTACTGCATTCGCTTGACCCAGATGGGATTGCTGATGATGTGCGAACGAATGAGATTTTCAACCAGGGATGCTCAGCCTTAACTCCTCCCCCCTCAAGAGAAATTTTATCCGAAGGTGGTTCAATCGATTTCGGAGAATTTTGATTTGTATAACATAATTTGAATTTAATTAAAATGATACAAACTGTGTAGAGTACTCCAATGAGATATAAACTTATTGTCCATACACTGATTTCACGTGTTACTGAGAATTTTGTATCTATTTCGTTATCGCTGAATTTAGCACTATTTATTAGTTCTTTTATGTCTTTCTCCACGTTTCTTAAATCCAACTGCTTTGCTTCTTTTTGATGTGATCCCCTCATCTCGACTGTGGGAAGATGAAGTTTGATATTCGCAAAATACCTCGGGGCGTTGATGAATGTGTCTTCAACCTGCGTTCTTGCTTAGGTATAATTATATATGTAATTTGCACTTAGTATTTTGAGCCCCCCCCCCTGCAGAGTCCGACACGCAAAGGCCATGGGAAAAACGGGCATTCGGAAGCACTTTCCCGTCCCGGCGGCGAAGGGGCGAGGGTAGGGAATGCGGCGCCTGGCAATACCGACACCTCTCCTCCGCAGCTTCACCAGCACCGCATTCACTGCGGCCCCGACAGAATCACGGACGATAGAGCTATACCAACTACCCTCTTCCTCCGCGACATCACCTCGGCTGCAGTTGTAGCGCAGCCGAAGTGGGCACGCCAAGCCCAATCAGAGTGGCCTCCTCGGGCCGGACCTCGGACCAGCCTTGTGGGTTCCTGTTAGTTCACCGCGGATAAGCAAGCCACGGCTACTAAGCTCCCCCGCCACGACAAGGCGGGAACCCGTACCGGCTGCGGGTGTGGGGTTCTAATCTAACTTAAAAAAACCTATTTTTGATATATAGACGCTACCATTCCTTCTCAACTAATTTTATGTATGAAAGTCTGCCATTGTTCTTTATCATAAACCTAAACAAGTTCAGTTTTTTGATCAATAAACAAGATTTTTTCAGGTTAATGGTCAATAAATTATTTTGTCTTCTTCCGGTTCTTGATTAAAGGCCTAAGTTTTTAATCAAAAACCTGATTTTACCATAAACCTGCTACACAATATATACATAATTCAACTAAACGCTCCTAATAAACGGCTGGACCGATTTTGAAGAAATTTTGTGTGTGTGATTAAGGTAATTCGAGAAATTATTCACAATTGAACCCGGTAGGTGGGCCTGTTGTCGATATCCAGAAATCACCCGTGCGAAGCCGAGGCGGATCACTAGTAATAAAATAAAAAAATACTGCAGTTATCAATTCGCCGGCCAAGCGTGCCAACTATAGTAAATATCTCCCTAATTAGAGGCGTATGTTCAGCTGTGGACTTAATGAAAAAAAAAATAATAATTTGCGACTACACTGTAGTCGATCGTTCTCCTAA